CTCTCCCTCTCTCTCCCTCTCCCCACACCCCCTCTCGCTCTCACCTCTGCCGCTCGCGAGGCGCGAGGGCACGCCGCTGGATGGGATGCGCCGTGGCCGTGAGCTGGTCCATACAGTACATAGCATTGCCCGGCGTGTTTTTTTTCCTCTCGTCTCCTTTTGGCGGCCTTGCTTGTTTTTTTTTCCCTCTTTTTTGCTTGCCAGCGGAGGCGCGCGAGGTGCAGCAGTAGCGTTTGCCGGCCGCCCTCGCGCGCGCTCGGTGCCGCGTGTCGCGGAGGATTTTTTCTGTTTTTTTCCTTTTTGTTATCATTCTTTCTTATTCTGTGCTTCCCTTGGACGGCGGCGCTCGCGATGCTTTTGTGCCAGAGTGGAAAGGAACAACTTGTTCCGCCCTCGCGCTCTTGAATCGAAGGAAAATAACCAGCCTGCTCGCGCCTCGCCTCTCGGTCTCGGTACTGAATGAGAGTAAGTGAAGTGCGGCGAGGGCGGGGGAGTCAGGCGTGCCGGTGGGAACACACAAAGGTCTGGGCGGCCGGCGTTGTTCTGTCGCTGAGTTCGCACGATATAAACGCTGAGTCGACATGCACGGCGGCTAGGACGCTCTTTAGCTCAGGTATCGGGCGCGTCGATCGGTCCCGCGGGGGGCGGCGGCGGGGGCGGCGTCACGCCAGCACGCGGCCTGCGCCTCAAGTCGCCTGGAAAGGCGGAGATAAGTGAGTTGCCGGTCACAAGTTACGCCCGCTGTGAACGTGCTATACTCGCGCGCTGAGAGGTCTCGTGTGTGTGTGTGGGGGGGGGGGGTAGTGACTGGTGGATTAGGGGGGTATTGACGGCTTGATAATCCGGCGTGAATCACCGCCACCGCGACCATATACCACCGCCACACATACTTACTCGCGATGTTTTGTAACACGGCGTCATACCGTGCGCGGGTGAGGGTAGAGTGGGGGGGGGGGGTCACAATGGCGTGATATTTCACGTTACGATGATGTGTACGACGACGACGGCTGTGTGTGTGTGTCGTTGTGTAATTCGGTGGTATTGACCTCTGAATGTGGCGGCCCGCTTGGTGGGGCGTGGCGGCGAGGAGCGACTCATCCTCTCGGGAGGAGAGGAAAGTGAAAGGACCGCGCGACTGCAGTGCAGTGTGTTACTGAAGCCCCCACGGCTGCTGGGCTGGGGTCCCCCGAGGTAAAAAGGAGGGAGCGGGGGGAGCGGCCCAGTTGCGTGTCGGGGGCTCCTGCTCCTGCTGCTCC